GGGCTACATAGTGAGTTCAAGACCAACTTAGATTCTATAGTGAGACTGTGTCTCCAAAAACCAAAACCAAAATGAACCTTAAATGTGTCTTACCTTTCTTTCATCTATTACCCAGTTACCTTTCCAAATACTTCTTAAATTCTCTATTTTTTGCTAAAATCTTGTCATTTTTGTTAAAAAAAAATCATTCATGTGCCACATCAGATTGTTTCATTTAATTATTCACTGTGTTCTAAATTACGTTCCTGTCTAGATCCCCACATATTCATGCCTATTTCCCATTAATTAAGTTCTGTAAAATTAACGCATTTCGTGTACTCCTGATGAATTCTACCTCTTGCCGTTGTGATTTTTGATTCATTTATACCTATATTTGTATGTATGTATATATTTGACAGGATCTTACCAGTAGTTAGACTGGTCTTGAACTCACTGTGTAGCCCAGGCTGGCCTTCAAATTTGCAGTGATCCTACTACGTCGGCCAAGTGCTAGTATTACAGGTGTGCACGCCTAACACACAGGTAAGTGTTCCTGTCCTAGAAAACTGTTTCTGTCTAGAAGATAATAGCCTAGATAGTTTTAAGGAGAGTCTGTTGAAGGGTTGGTGTTTGCAAGTGGATTCATGGAGAAGAGAGAAGAATATACTACTAGTAGAGGGAAAAGCATAAATAAGAAGTGAGAAGGTAGGACAGAGAAAGAACTTGATTTATTTGAAATTAAGATCCCCAAATACGATTTGTTTTCTTTCTGTCCAGTCGGTGGCTCCAGCAGCCTTGTTTCTAGCTGCTAAAGTGGAAGAGCAGCCAAAAAAACTGGAGCATGTTATCAAAGTAGCACATACTTGTCTGCACCCGCAGGAGTCTCTTCCTGACACCAGGAGTGAGGTAGGTGGTCATTACAGATCTTCTTTTCTTTTCTATTTTCTTTCTTTCATATGTTTATTTTTTCTTTTTTAATCAGATTTTATTGGTACATTTTAGATATGCATGATGATCACATCCATGATAGAGAATTTGTATCTGCAGATGATACAACTTGATTCTTTTATTCCCATTCCCCTACCCTCCCTTCAACCCCTGTTTACAAAGGGGTTGTAATTTCCCTTGCCTCCCCATGTACAAAAGCTTTGTTTGTATGTTTTCCTTCTTTTTTCATTTTTTTTACTTTCCTTTCTTTCCTTTTCCCCTCCCCCTCCCTTGTCCCCCTCCCTGTTGGAACATTTTCTTCCTATTTCACAATGCCTCTTACACCTTTTGGTCCTTATTTACACTTTTGGTTTCTCACACTAGAGAGAAACAATTAGGTATTTGTGAATGTGTGTCAGATTTGAGAATGGTCTCAAGGTGCATACATAAAGCTTAGCCTTCTTTATGGCAGAGTAGTACTCCATTGTATAAAAAGCCACATCTTTATTTGCTCACCAGTTGATGGGCATTTGGGCTGTTTCCAGGATTTGGGCATTACAAATTGCACTGCTGAGCCGGGCATGGTGGTGCATGCCTGTAATCCCAGCACTCAGGAGGCTGAGGCAGGAGGATCCTTGCGAGTTCGAGACCAGCCTGGTCTACAAAGTGAGCTCAAGGCCAGCCTGAACTGCGTAGAGAGACCCTGTCTCAAAAAAGACCAAAAAAAAGACAAAAAAAAAAAAAGCCTGCACTGCTATAAACACAGGTGTGCGTATATTGCCGTGGAATGATGCTTTTGATTCTTTTGGGAAGAGGGGCTGGGGATTTAGCTCAGCGGCACAGCACCTACCTGGCAAGCGCAAGGTCCTGAGTTCGATTCCCGGTACTGGAAAAAAAACAAAAAAAAAAGAATTGATTCTTTTGGGAAGATCCCCAGAAGGGGAATAGCTGGATGAAATGGGACCTCTAGTCTTGGGCTTTTTTTTTTTTTTTTTTTTTCTTTTTTGAGACAGGGTCTTGCTATGTAGTTCAGGCTGGCCTTGAGCTCACTTTGTAGCTCAGGCTGGTCTTGAACTTGCAGTGACCCTTCTGCCTCAGCCTCCTGAGTGCTGGGATTACAGGCATTGGCACTACACCCAGCTTTTTCTTTTTGAGACAAGATTTCAATGTGTAGTTCAGGCTGGCCTTGAATTCACTTTGTAGCACAGGCTGACCTTGAACTCACAGCAACCCTCCTGTCTCAGCCTCCCAAGTGCTGGGATTACAGGTGTGCACCAGCATGCCCAACCTAGTCCTAGTTTTTTGAGGAATCTCCACACTGATTCCACAGTGGTTGTACCAGTCTGCACTCTCACCAACAGCAGAGAAGGGTTCCTTTTTTCCCCAGTGCCTTGCCAGCATTTGTTAGTGGTGGATTTCTTGATAAAAACTTTTTGCTAGGGTGAGGTGGAATCTCAATGTTGTTTTAATTTGCATCTGTTGAATGACGGAATGTTGAACATTTTTTCATATATTTATTTGCTGTTTGTACGTCTTCATTTGAGAAGTATATATTTATCTCAGGTGCCCATTCTTGGATTGGGTCTTTAAGTTTGAGGGGGCTTGTATTTTTGAGTTCTTTGTATGTTCTCAATAGTAACCCTTTGAGGAACAGCTGGCAAACATTTTTTCCTACATTGTGGGTTGTCTCTTCACTCTGTTGGTGGTTTCTCTTGCTGTGCAAAAGCTTTTTAATAAGATGAGATCCCAGTTGTTGTTTTTTTTTTTTTTTTTTATTTTCTCCGGTACCGGGAACCGAACTCACGACCTTGCGCTTGCCAGGCAGATCCCAGTTGTTGATTGTGATAGTTCCTGTGTAGTTGGGGTTTTGTCCATACAGTCTTTGCCTACACCTGTGTTCAAGAGTTCTACCTGTTCTATCTTCCAGCAGACAATCTGCTTTTCTTTATTTTGATTGTAGCTTAATTTTGGAATTTTGATTTACTAAAGTTTGAATGTGGGCTATTAAGGGAAACTAAGTGGTTTTTTTAACAAAAAAAGTTAAGTTTTATGGTGAAAATTTGTTGAGTTAAATTAAAAGCTGCAGAAAAGCAAAGAACAGAAACAATCTGCTGGAAGATGAAGTAGATAAAACCAAGACATAAGTGTAGGCAAAAACGTTCAGTAGTACCAGGGATCACCAAACAGAATCATATCAAATTAAAAAGCTTCTGCACAGCAAGGAAACCACTAACAGAAGAAACAACTTGTAGAGTGAGACTTTTCAGAAAAAGAACTATATAAAGAACTCAAAAAAATTAGACCTCCCCCCAAATTTAAAAAAATCAAGAAGTACAAACAGCCAATAAATACATGAAAAAATGTTTAACATTACTGGCCATTTGAGAAATTCAAGTTAAAACAACCCTGAGGTTCCATTTCATTCCAGAAAGAATGGTTAGCATCAAGAAATCAACCAGCAACATGCTGGAGAGGCTTCTGGGTGAAAGGGACCCTTCTTCATGGTTGGTGGGAATGTGAACTGGTACAACCACTGTGAAAATACTGTGGAGACTCCTCAGAAAACTAAAAACAGAAATTCCACGTGACCCAGCCATTCCTCTTCTAGGCATCTTCCCAAAAGATCTAGGACATCATACCGCAATGATGCATGCATGCTGCTGTTCATAGCAGCACAGTTCATAATTGGTACATCTTGGAAGCAGCTTATGCGTCCATCAGCAGATGAGCAGATAAAGAAAATGTGATTTAAATGAAAATGTATTTATACACAATGGATGACTTCTGTGCTATCGAGAAAGATAAACTTGAGTCATTTGTAGGAATATGCACCTTGAGACCATAATGTTAAGTGAAGGAAATTAGACGCACAAACTTAAATATCATATGGTTTCTCCTGTATGAGAAACTTAATATATAAAGGGTAAGATATCTAAAAGTGTACCTTGCCGGACATGGTGGCGCACGCCTGTAATTCCAGCACTCGGGAGCTGAGGCAGGAGGATCGTTGTCAATTCGAGACCAGCCTGGGCTACAAAGTGAGCTCAAGGCCGGCCTGAACTGCATAGCGAGACCCTGTCTCAAAAAGACAAAAAAAAAAAAAAAAAAGTGTACCTTGATTTAGTTATTCGGTGGTGTTTTTGTTTTGAAACAGGGTCTCACTATGTAATTCAGGCTGGCCTTGAACTCTTTATGTAGCCTAGGCTGACCTCAAACTCTTGGTAGTCCTCCTGCCTCAGCCTCCTGAATGCTGGGATTACAGGCATGCACCCCCACACCCAGCCCAATTTACCATAATTGTCTTATGCGTTCTATATGTTTTTTGGCATATTAGCCTGGCTGTTAATCTATATGTTTGATAATTAACTTTATAAGGATTTATAAATAAATGAATCTGATGCTGGCAAATTTTTTTAAAAAGGAGTAGTGGATGGGAAGGGGAAAAGGAAACACTTGAGCTTTGTTATATAATGTCCCAATTCCCCACAGCGAACATAAGCATCATGTACTGCCGGCAAGTACTAAGCATAAAAAGTGCAAAGAAGAAAATACGTCACATAGATGTATTGACCCACTGGACCACAGATACATAAATGAATCCTCATCTTTCCAGCTGCTTTTGTCTCAGCAGCTGTGCTTGCATGTATTTCATTATTTTGACTATGTCCAAACTATTTCCCCATCTTGTTCATTCTTGACTTTACAAATATCTAGGTAGTCATTTACATATATGTGTATTTTGTGACCATTCTTTGTACAGTAAAGAAGTGTCCATAAGCCAGGCATGGTGGTACATCCCTCAAATCCCAGCACTCTGGGAGGCTTGCAGAGGTTGATCCCAAGTTCTTGCCCAGCCTGGATAATTTAGCAATTTAGAGGGACCCTGTCTCAAAAAAAGAGCTGGGAAGGTACTCAGTGGGAAAGTCTCGAGTTAATCCATAATAACATGCACACATACACAGACACACAAATGTGTATATAATTTATTTTCTCACTCTGTATGTTACAAAGAACATTTTAAAAAATTTTGTAGGGAGGTTAAATAAAAGTTTAAAAAAGTTCCCTCTCCCTTTCTGCTAGTACGGTATTGCTTATTATAACAACATATGTACTTTTGTAGACTTGTCCTGTGCTAAAGGAGAGAAACACTAGTTTTAGAAGTTAATGATGGGTAGTGTTAAGGGATCTGGGAGGCCTACCCGTTCCCCACTTGTACTGGGGCATGAGCCCAGGGCCTTTGCTCTTTTTTTTCTTTTTCTTCTTTTTGAGACAGGGTCTCCCTGTGCAGTTCAGACTGCCCTTGAGCTCACTTTGTAGCCCAGGCTGATCTCGAACTCACAATGATCCTCCTGCCTCAGCCTCCTGAGTGCTGGGATTATAGGTGTGTACCACCACACCCACCAGCTCCTTTTTTTTTTGAGACAAGATCTCACTTTGTAGTTAAGGCTGGCCTCAAATTCTCTGTGTAGCCCAGGCTGGCCTCAAACTCATGGCTATCCTCCTGCCTCAGCTTCCCGAGTGCTGGGATTACAAGTGTGCATCACCATGCCTCAAACTCATGGCTGTCCTCCTGCCTCAGCTTCCCGAGTGCTGGGATTACAAGTGTGCATCACCATGCCTCAAACTCATGGCTGTCCTCCTGCCTCAGCTTCCCGAGTGCTGGGATTACAAGTGTGCATCACCATGCCTCAAACTCATGGCTATCCTCCTGCCTCAGCTTCCCAAGTGCTGGGATTACAAGTGTGCATCACCATGCCTGGCTATTCCACGTTTAATTTTTTTTTTTTTTTTTTGGTTGACACAGGGTTTTACTATCCAGTTCAGGCAGGTTTTGAGCTCCCTTTGTAGCCCAGGCTGGTCTTAAACTTGTAATGATCCTCCTGCTTCAGCTTCCCGAGTGCTGGGATTACAGGCGTGTGCCACCATGCCTAGTTTAGGATATTAATTTTAATGATATATTTTATGTAACTCAGTATGTCTTAAAATAGTGTCACTTTAGCCACCCAGCTATATATCCTTGGCCCTTGTTTATAGTTTATGTACTATAGTTCCCCAAGAAGAAGACCAGTTATCTTAATTTTTGCTTCATGCTGGGCGTGGTAGTACATACCTGTAATCCCAGCATTTGGGAGGCTGAGGTACAAAGATCACCAGGAGTTCGAGGCCACCCTGGGGTACATAGTGAATTCAAGGCCAGCCTGTGCTACAAGGCGACAGACCCTGTCTCCAAAACAATTTTTTGTTTGCTCCAAAAGACTTAACAGGGCTTATTTTCAGTGGATGTCTTATTTTTTTCATAAACAGTACTCTACATTTATTCATGTACAAAAATCTACATGTTTTCAAACACAGGCTTGTTACCTCCTTCAGGAAGATCTTCGTAACTCTCCAAGGCCAAACTCTGGTCAAATTTCTTGTGACTCTGTTTCCTATAGAACGATTGGCCCCCATCTCTCGTGTCCAGAAGTAGAGTGTCCTTAATGAGACCTGCTGCCCCTGTAGCCTGCTCATAATGCATTGTCACAGCACATGTATTGAATTACAGAAACTCATTAAACACAGCCACGTCCCGTTCATTATCAAGTGCAGATGTTGTTCGAGTGTTCCGTTTGTACTGGATTGGTCGTTTGGCAGGGAGTGTTCAGTTCATCCAGAGGGGCCCACTCGGGTGTTTATAAGTAGTTAATTACAATTTATGTTACTATTTATTTTAAGTATTAATGTCAGTAATATTATATATGTACATTTATATATTATTATTGCTTTACAATTCAGCATGTCTGTTGTATGTTGCAGCCAACATACTAAATGCATCTGTCTGGCGATGGTTTCAACTGGGGCTCATTTTGGGGGTAGGGCTTCTGAGCATCCTGAAAAACCATGTTAGGGTTTATGTTCTGGCTGGGTGTTTTGGGGAAATGCGACATTACGCTTTTTCAGTCAGTGTTCTCTCTGTCTTGTCTGTAGGCTTACCTGCAACAAGTTCAAGATCTGGTGATTTTAGAAAGCATAATTTTGCAGACTTTAGGTAAGTTTATCTACTTAAAGTGTTAAACATCTGTATATCTATATATATACACATATAATTTAATGATTTGATATTAAAATTTGCAAAACAAGAAGTAGGAAGAAAATCCTTTGGGAACATTTTTGAATAGTATCCGTCTGTTTCTGGAGTAGAGTTTGTAGAGATCAGAGTTTAACTTTGGCCTATACCATAGAGAGGATGTAGGTACAGTTATCCTTTGAAATAGCAGCTAGCAAGGCTTTTAGTTTTTGATTATCCATTCTAGGGTTCATGATTTACCTTTTTTTGAGATTTGATGCTTTTTGTGACCTGATAAGGCAAAACTATCTTTCTTTTTTTTTTTTTTTTTTTCTTCGAGACAGAGTCTCACTATGCAGTTCAGGCTCTCCTTGAGCTCACTTTGTAGCCCAGGCTGGTCTCGAACTCTCAACAATCCTCCTGCCTCAGCCTCCCGAGTGCTGGGCTTACAGGTCTGCACCACCATGCCCGGCCGGCAAAACTATTTTAAAGAGCATTTCTTCCCGTGGTTTGCTCTGGTCTCTTGGTCATTGTGTTTAGATAACAGCACTTACTTTTGAAACTGGTAAGCAGTGGTTGGTTAGCATAGCAGAGTGGAAGTGGAGGGACTTAAGTTACAGCAGTTGCCTGGGCAACTCTGGTGATCCATAGCAAGTATTGAAATAGGACTTTCGCTTACTCTTCTTTGTTCTTTTTGAAACAAGTCTTGCTGTGTAGTTTAGACTGGCCATGACCTCACTGTGTAGCCCATGTTGGCCTCAAATTTACAGTGATCCTCCTGCCTCAGCTTCCTGAGTGCTGGGATTGCAGGCATGTGCCACCATACCTGGCTTTAGGTTAAGTTTGAAAAGTAGGGATCATTTGAGTGACTTGTTTCTTCCAACTTTATATTATGTTCTGTTGTACCTGAAAAAAAGTGATTTATGTTTAGGTTTTTGGTTTGTCAGTGGTTTTCAGGTCTTACTGCTACCCTTTAGCCCAGAGTGTAAACAGCTTTGGAGATAATGTACCTTCAAGGAAAATACGCTGCGTACTTTGTGATTCTTAGCATCTGCATAGCAGTTTTGAGAGAGAAGAATGCAGGAGGCCTTTAATAATGCCTGGGATAAAGAAATATAAAATATGTTGAGTATTTTTAGGTTTGGTTTTTTTGGTTTTTTTTTTTTTGACTGGTTAATCTTTTCTTAAAGGATTTGAACTAACAATTGATCACCCACATACACATGTGGTAAAGTGCACCCAACTTGTTCGAGGTAAGTTACCCCAACTTGAGACAATTGTCTTAAATTGTGTTATCATGTAGGGTTTTTAGTTCACTGTATAAAATGCGTAACACAGCTGCTTTGGCCAAAAGTTGAAGTGAAATGCCCAGGTGTCTCTCTGTGTGTGTGTGTGTGTGTGTGTGTGTGTGTGTGTGTGTGTCTTTTTGAGACAACGTCTTGCTGTGCAGTCCAAGCTGGCCTTGAGCTCACTTTGTAGCCCACGCTGGCCTCGAACTTGCAACGATCCTCCTGCCTCAGCCTCCAGAGTGCTGGGATTACAGGTGTGCCCCACCACGCCTGGCTGTGCCCAGGTGTCTTAAATCACAAAGATTGGTTGTGGCTTGCAGTTTTCTTATTGGGATTCTTATTACTATTTTAGGTGATGTATAGTTAAAGAGAGTTAACCTTTTGAGGGTGTTTGGAAAGTCACCAGGCCATATGTAATGGCAGTTTTTTTTTTGTTTTTTTGTTTTTTTTTTTTTTTTTTTGGTTTTGGTTTTTCTCCGGTACCAGGAACTGAACTCATGACCTTGCGCTTGCCAGGCAGGCGCTTTGCCGCTGAGCTAAATCCCCAGCCCCTGTAATGGCAGTTTTAAGGAAGGTCGTGGGAGTGAATGGTCTTACTTAAGGTTGATTCCAGGCTTTCTAGATGATCATTTTTGTTTTTGTTTCTGGGGATTGAGCCTAGGGGTTTTATACTGAGCTGTACCTAGGTTGTGTTTTGTTATTTTTGTTTTGTTTTGTTTTTTGAGACAGTCTCACTAAGTTGCCCACACTGGACTCAGACTTGTGTTCTCTCATGTCAGCTTCCCAGAGTATTGAAATTACAGGCATGCCACCATGCTGGCCAGATAATTGTAAAGTGTTTTTTTTTCTTTGAGATAGGGTCTCTGTGTAGTTCAGGCTGGCCTTAAATTCAAAACTCGAGGTGGTCTTCCTGCCTTAACCTCTCGAATGCTGGATTACAGGTGTGTGCCACCACACCCAGCAGAATTACTTTTCTTTTTGTAGTAGGGATCCAACCTGGTGCCTCAGACATGCTAGGCAGTAGTTTAGCCACTGAGCTACATCTCCAGTCCCTCTCATCCTTTTAACAGTAGTATCAAAAATACCTGGGGCTGGAGGTGCTGCTCAGTAGCAGAGCACTTGCCTGGCATGTGCAGTCTTCCAACAGTCTCCAAAGCACTCCCCCTACCCCCCCGCCAAAACTGGCCACCCTTCTGCACTTAAGTGCCTTTAGGGTTTTGTAGACCAAACTGATACAGGTTTCATGTAAAGATTTCCAGTATTTCCGAGTTCTCTATATTTGAAGGATTGAAATTTTTAAAAGCCTAAATTCTGGGTGTGGTGGCACATGCCCATAATCCCAGCACTTGGTAGGCTTGAATAGGCTTGAGGCAGGAGGATGATGCAAGTTCAAGGCCAGCCTGGACGAGACCCTACCTCCAAAAAAAACCAAAGTAACTAAATTCTATCAGGTATGGGTGTGCACACCTATAATCCCAGCATTTGGAGGCTGAGACCGGAGGATTGCCATGAGTTCATTGCCAGCCTGGGCTACACAGTGAGTTCAAGACCAGCCTGAGCTACATAGTGAGACCCTGTCTGAAAAAAAAAAAGAAAAAAGACTTAAGTACGTTTTGTCATCCAGAGTGGGTTTGTTTTGTTTTGGAGGAGGAATGTGTTTTCACTATACTATATTAAGCTATATTAGTTGATGGTTTGGGGATTAAGTCAGAGGCCACTCAAAATCCTGTTTTTTTGTTTGTTTTGGTTTGGGCTTTTGAGATGGTCTCACTGTGTAGTCCAGGCTAGCCTTGAACTCCTGGTGATCCTCCTGTGTCGGCTCGGGAGAGTGCTGGGACTGAAGGCTTGCACCACCATGCCTAGCTAAATTATGATCCTGCCTTCAGAGAATTTTGAGTTCATATTTGAGACAAACTCGGCAGCACAGTAAAATCTTGTCTCAAAAATGCTTGTGCTAGCCCTGGAGATACAACTCAATGATAGTACTTGCCTAGCGTGCTTGAAGCCCTGGATTTGATTCTTAGTAACAGCAAAACAAAACAAAAACAAAAAACTTGGGTGCTTCTCCAGGCATACTAAGTCAGACTCTGTATTGTTTTTTGTTTCTTTGGGGTTTTTTGTTGTTTTGAGCCAGGATCTCACTATAGCCCAGGCTGGCCTTCAGCTCTTGGTGATAGTCCTGCCTCAGCCTGCCTTAGCTATGCCACCACCCCCTGGCACTAAATCAAACTCTGGAGAGCAGGCCCAAGAATTGCATTTTAAACAAGTACCTCTAATGCTTGGTATGTAGAAGAAAACTCGAGTCTCTGGGACTGGACACAGTGTAGTTGTTAACCTTAAAGTCAGAAATCAGTGGGAGCCAGGAGTGCAATGGCTCAGTGGGAGAGCATGTGTGTAGCCTGTGGGAGTCTCCGGGTTCAGTCCTCAGCCCCTCAGAAAGAGTATTTCCTGTGGTGTACTGTAAGCATCAGGTGATTGGGTACCGTTACTGTCTCAGGTACCAGTCTAGTAGCAGTACCTTGCAAATAATAAATGTTTACTGAATGTTTCTTGAGAATGAGTGAAACTAACCTTTTTCCTTTTTTTTTTTTTTTTTTTAGCAAGCAAGGACTTAGCACAGACGTCTTATTTCATGGCAACCAACAGGTTTATATTTTATTTATGTATTTATTGCTTTTAAGGACTGGCTTTACTTGAGTTGGCATAGTTACCTTTCCTGGGATATGTAGAATGACTTAGCAAACTAGAACCCAAAGGCTCAGACGTGGAAATGATCTCTGACGCAGTGTACCACAGACAGTTGTCTGGTGATCGTTTATTATTGCTATTTTTCCTGTACAGTTTTCATCTTGTACCTTAAATTTCCTAGTGCTTTGTAATTTGCTGAGGTGATACAATTATTTAGCACTATAACTATTTAGTAATTGGTAGCCCACCCAATTCTGTGTGTGACGCTGCTCTAAAACACCCAAGAACACATTTCTGCAAGTTTGTGTACATTCAGGGCTTATTGATAGTGACCAAAAAATATCTAACTTGGAGGATTTTACAAAAATTAAATTTTAAAAGACTTTTTTTCCTTTCCATGGCCAAATAAAGGGGCACTTACGGGTATGCAGAGTTGAAATACTTTCCTTCTTCCTCTTTAGAAAAATGATTAGCAGATAAACTTACAATGCCAAGCGACTTGCTTGCTTCGTCTCTGTTCTCCAGTATAGTTTGTTTATAGAAACCAAAGATAATGGTAATAACTTGCAGGGGTAAGAAGCTCAGTTTTATAGCCTGGCGTGATGGTGCATGCCTGTAATCCCACAACTCAGGAGGCTGAGGCAGGAGAATTGCCATAGATTTGAGGCCAGCCTGGGCTAAAAGTTCGGTTTTATAACCTGACATGAGAAATTTTCCAAATAAACCATAAGTCAAGCATACTTGTACTTGAAGGAGTGATTGTTCATTATTTTAAATAGATTAGAACTGTATTGGCAAAAGACAATTTTAAGATATTTCCTTACAGATTTAGTGATTAAAAACAGAAAACTTACAATTTTCCACATTCTGAGCTTATTTGTCAGGATAATAGGTAGTAAACACTGACTTTTGGGACTAGAAATCAAAAAAGAAATAAAGAGGGAGGTCCTTCCTTGTCGTGTAGACTGGATGATACGCTCAGGAACTGGAGAAGTGCTGACCTGAGCAGTGGGTGAATGGAAGATGGTTATACTGAGCATGGAATCAGAGGAGGACAATTCTTGCTCTTTTTGCTCTCCTTTTTTTCCTTTTTTCTTTTTTAAATAATGGAGAGTTTTAGCTTGGGTTGAGAACTGAGCGCTCACGACACTCTGTTTCCCTCCCTCTGGTGTCAGCCTCCATCTGACCACATTTAGCCTGCAGTACACACCTCCTGTGGTGGCCTGTGTCTGCATCCACCTGGCTTGCAAGTGGTCCAACTGGGAGATCCCAGTCTCAACCGATGGGAAGCACTGGTGGGAGTATGTTGACGCCACTGTGACCTTGGAGCTTTTAGATGGTAAGTTTTAGAGTGAGGGACGCTGGAAGCCACTTGCTCGTGATCTGTCACTTACCTGCCCAAGGGTGACTTCAGTTGGACGCAGTGAGTGAGTTGAGGTTGTTTTTGTTTCATTACCTCTGTCTCTCTGAGTCTTTCTTGAATGTTTTATTTTTAGAACTGACCCATGAATTTCTACAGATTCTGGAGAAGACTCCCAACAGGCTCAAACGAATTTGGAATTGGAGGGTAAGAATTGTACTGTCAGCTTGCTCCTTCTTTTGACTGTACAGTGAATATACCAGAATAAGCTCTATGCCTTATCTTTGGTATTTCCCTTTTCACAGTTGTGCAGTAATCATGACTTGACTTCGTAGCTTAAATACTGGCCCGTAGCTTAAATACTAGCCCTGAAGTCAAATAAATGCCTGTCGGTGATAGCGGGCTTTGCTTTGTTCTATGGAATACCTGTTTGATTATTTGGTCAGCAGTGTTGCTTGAATATTTCTTTTGGGTGGGGGGGCGTTTCCATTGCTAGAAACCAAACTCACGACCTTGCGCTTGCCAGGCAGGCTCTGTGCTGTGGAGCTAAATCCCCAGCCCCTTGCTTGAATATTTCTGTGTAGAGACTCTTAGGCATAAAGCAAGAATCCTGGCTTTTTTTGCAGACAGGGTCTCACTGTGCGGTCTAGGCTGACCTTAAACGCACTATGTTGCCCATGCTGACCATCCTTCTGCCTCTGCTTTCCTGAGTGCTATGAGTATAACCATGACCACCGTGTGTGGCGTAATTTGATCTTTGACATTACCTACTTTTTTTTCTTTTTCCAGTCAGATTTTATGAACATTTTAGATGTATGTAATGATCACATTCATCATAGAGAATTTGTACCTGTACATGATATAACTGTTTCTTTTCTTCCCCCATTCCCTTACCCTTCCTTCAGTTCCTCCCCTCCCCATTTACAAAAGCTTTGTTTCCAGTTAACTTCTTTCTCGTGTACTTTTTACCCCACTCCCCTCCACGTTTGAACATTTTCTTCCTATTTCACTATACCTGTTATACATTTTGGTCCTTGTTTACACTTCCAGTTTCTCACACCACATAAACAATGCAGCATTTACATGTGTGTCCAATGACATTATCTGCATTCAAAATGGGGTTTAGAATTTTGTAATTATATAGTTTGCAGTTTAAATTTGTATTTCAAATATTTTTGAAAGTCTTAAAAGTAATGGAGTGATTCCTTTTTTTTTTGTTTTTCTAGTGTTAGATTGTTAAAATGTATTTCCCAACGGTGTGCTGGCACATGCCTATAATTCTAGCACTCTGGGAGGCTGAGACAGCAGGGTTACAAATTCAAACTCAGTTGGAACAATTTAGAGACTTAACAAAAACTTATCTCAAAATTAAAAATAATGAAATATGTCGGAAAGTAGCTCAGTGCCAAGGTGCTGGGTTTTATCCCTCGTGCCACAGAAATAAATACTTAAGAAAAATTCCCTTGGGACTGGGGGTGTGGCTCTATGGTAGAGCAAGTGCTTAGTCTGCTGAGACACCGCCCCCTTGCAGGGCATGATTACACACACATGCCTGAGGCTGAGGCAGGAGAATCACTGAGTTCCAAGTCAGTTTGGGCTACCTAGTGAGTTCAAGATCAGCCTGAACTAAATAGCGACACAGTGTCTAAAACAAAAAAACAAGTTTCCCTCCTTCTCGTAAATCCAGATTGAAAAGCTTTACTTCATTCCCCTGAGTTGTGAGCTGAACAAAATGTTTGTCTCATAATAGTTTGGGGTTAGAAGTAGGCTTGAGAGCATATAGTTCATCTTTCCCTTTCACATAAAACCTCATCAAGCTGGGTGTGGTGGCGCACACCTGTAATCCCAGCACTTCGAAGGCTGAGGCAGGAGGATCGATGCGAGTTTGAGACCAGCCTGGGCTACAAAGTGAGCTCAAGGCCAGCCTAAACTACATAGCGAGACCCTGTCTCAAAAAGACAAAGGAAAAAAAAAAAAAAAAAAAAAAACATCAAAATTTGTAGAACTTTACAATGTATTGTAATCGTAAGCGGTCATTTTGCTGTTTCTAAATGGTTTTTAGGTAAGCGCAGATTCTTCTTTGGTTGCTTTTGCCTTATAACACTGTAGATTGCTAACTCTTGATGGGCAGTTTTTTGTTTTTTGTTGTGGTTTTTTGAGACAGGTTTTTAAAGCTGTCCTTGAACTGACATAGCCCAGGCTGGCCTTGAACTTGCCGCAACACTCCTGCCTCAGCCTCCCAAGTGCTGGGATTACAGGTTTGCACCACCAAGCCCAGCGATGGACAGTTTTAAAATCTTACTTCTCCTAAGCCCATGTTTATTGGCTCTCGTGTTAGAGTAGCCTTTCCAGAACTTCAGTGCAAGTACCATCTACTTATCTTAATGCCTTTCCATTTAAAAAGTCACCTGAAGAGATGTTATTGGCTTTGTTCTAGGCATGCCAGCCTACCAAGAAAACAAAAGCAGATGACCGGGGAGCAGATGAAAATACTTCAGAGCAGACAATCCTCAATATGATCTCCCAGAGCTCTTCAGACTCAACTATTGCAGGTTTAATGAGCATGTCCACTAATTCCACTACAAGTGCAGTGCCTTCCCTTCCCGGCTCTGGAGAGTCATCGAGCAACCTGTCCAGTGTGGAGATGTTGCAGAGTGAGCGCTGGCTGTCCTCCCAACCTCCTTTTAAAGTAGAACCTGCTCAGGGTCATCGGACTAGTGAGAATTTAGCACTTATGGGAATTGATCATTCCTTGAAACAAGAAAGTTCAAATGCATTTATTTCGCAGAAGCAGAGTAGTAAGACTGTGCCATCAGCTAAAGTATCCTTGAAAGAATACCGTGCAAAGCATGCAGAAGAGCTGGCTGCCCAGAAGAGGCAGCTGGAAAACATGGAGGCTAACGTGAAGTCACAGTACGCGTATGCGGCCCAGAACCTTCTGTCTCACCACGACAGCCACTCTTCAGTCATTCTTAAAATGCCCATAAAGGGTACAGAAAACCCGGAACATCCTTTTCTGGAAAAGACTGACAAAACAGCTCTCAAAATGAGACTCCCAGCAGCTGGAGATAAAGCTGCCTCTTCAAAACCAGATGACATAAAAATGCGCATTAAGGTCCATGCTCCGGCTGATAAGCACTGTTCTGTAGAGGACAGTGTCACAAAGAGCAGAGAGCACAAGGAAAAGCACAAGACGCACCCATCTAATCATCACCATCATCATAATCACCATTCACACAAGCACGCTCACTCACAGCCTCCACCTGGTGCTGGGAGCAAACGTCCAGGTGATCCAAAACATAGCAGCAGCCAGGCGAGCACCTTAACACACAAAACCTATAGCTTGTCTAGTTCTTTCTCCTCTGCCAGTTCTACTCGTAAAAGGGCTCCCCCTGAAGAGACTGGAGGGGCAGCATTTGATCATCCAGCCAAGATTGCCAAGAGTACTAAATCCTCTCTAAATTACTCTTTCCCTCCTCTTCCTACAATGGCCCAGTTACCTGGGCATAGCTCAGACACAAGTGGCCTTCCCTTTTCACAGCCTAGCTGTAAAACTCGGGTTCCTCACATGAAACTGGAAAAAGGCCCCACTGGGGCCAATGGTCACAACACAACCCAGTCCATAGACTACCAGGATACTGTGAATATGCTTCACTCCCTGCTCAGTGCCCAAGGTGTCCAGCCCACTCAGCCCCCTGCCTTTGAGTTTGTTCACTCGTATAGTGAATATCTGAATCCACGGTCTAGTGGAATTTCCTCCAGATCTGGCAATACAGACAAACCCCGGCCACCACCTCTACCGTCAGAACCTCCTCCACCACTTCCACCTCTTCCTAAGTAAAAAAGAAAAAGGAGGAAAAAAAACTTCTCTAAAAAACACATTTTTTTTTTTGACTACTGATAGTGGACTAGAATTACTTCCCTTATGAAATGGCACCCTTCTTGGACTAGAGAATAAATTGATCCTGAAACATAGGTGGGAGGGTGGTGGAGGGCCTTGGTTGTTACATGTGCTGCCTGATACTTTTAACTATTACAGTTTTTACTGGTATTAGAAAGGTGGGGACATGGGGAAACTGTGAAGGGTAAGAACACTCTGTCCTTGGCCTCCACCTCCTAGTTAGGTTGATTGGAATAGTTACCTTCCCTCTTCGTGTGAGAACTGAAACATGGGGGGGTTTATCAAAGAATTGTGGATTCTTTTGATGTTTAATATATCAGAAGAGAGGAAGTATTTAAACGTCAAAATCTTCTAAGAGACTTTTTAAAAATAATTTAATGAAAGTAAGTTATCTGTTTAGTTTTTTTATATAATTGGGAAGGGGATAGGGATTTTGCTGTGTGTATGAGGTACATAGCAGTGACTCCTGGTGGGTGGGATCGAGGGTGGGAATCCTGCAGGGTGGGTGGGAGGGTAGGCTTTTGGCCAAGAGTTTTGAAGTAGGCTCAGGCCACTTGAAGTATTGAGACCTTTAAGAGTGTACGTAAGCATGGATGTGCTTTTAAGTGTGTGTGTTTAAAAATCATGTTTTATCCCCCATCCTTTACCATTTTCACTTCGCAGCAGTCTGCTATAGAGAGTGTGGTTGGTCTTGAGAACATGAACAAAGAGGCATGTACTTGATACGGAAATTCCTCCCTTTCTTTATATGTAATTGAATTGTAGAAAGCTCATACCATACACGATAATGGTCCTGGGAGAAGCCAAGGAGTTAGAGGATAGTGAGAACAAATTGTGATTTGGAATTCTTAGGACATTGTGTTTTAAATTACATTATGAATGTAGGCCTTGCTTTCTATTTGTATATCTGAAGGCAAACAACTGCATCTTTAAGTGTTTGCGGCTTACATGATCCGAGGTCATGAATGATTTTACTTCATGACCGTCATGAATCATTTTTAATTCATGATCCGAGGTCATGAATTAAATAGTACTGGTGCCATGAGTGAGCAAGCCTAGCCAGTGCATACAGTTATGTTTAGATTGTCCTCCACTGATGGCTTTAGAGGCTAAACAGAGGCTCTTATGGAGATTTCTAAGAGTTCTTTTAAAAAATGGTCAGGAGTCCTGTTATAGGGGCTTATCCTAGACTTCAGGAGTAAACATTTCTGATGAGGAAGGAAGCCTTTCAAGAAATCTTAGTTGGAACGAATTCTAAGCCAAGTTGACTAACTGATAGTGCTACCTAGCCACAGATCATGTGATGTGTTTTTCCTTTCTTTTTTTTTTTTTTTTTTTTTTTGTGGACTTGATGATCACTGCTTTGATTGTGAAAATGTCCCTTCTAGCTTTTAATTATTCTCACTCATGTCACATATTTTCTAACGACACCCAGCTGTACCACAGAGGCACATAGCCACTTGATGTCATAGCATTTCTCATGTTCTTCCTTAGAACTTGTCAGGAGTGAATGAGGAAAAGCGCTTACTAAGGCCTGAGCAGCTGCTTTATGTTGTGAAGTCTGGCCTTTGCACTAGTCGATCATTGTTGTGGATCTGTGCGTGTCGTGACCTCCTTATGGGCTTTGCCTGAGGTGTTGGCGTTATCTTTGGGTTAGCAGATGTACCTGTCAGCTAGCATGCGTAGTGTCCAGATTCTATAAATTTAATAAGATTTCTGAGGGTTGTGTGATTTCTAAGTTGTATCTTTCCTCCCTTCACACCTTCAAGGGTGACAGGTGGGGTTTATATATCCAGTCAGTCTGATAAAGATGGAGTTTTTCTTCTTTTAATCTTGACTGTCAAGGATGAGTGATGATGGTAAGTTTTACAAATTTCATTCCTAAAATTTTGCTTGACTTTCGTGTTAGCAGAAACAAATACCTGTGGATTGTCCTTAGGGCTTTTAATCAGATACCTGTGTTGCTGTTGGCTGAGCTCTAGTGAAGCATTAATCTAAATCCGGTTTGATTCTTTTGAGGTATCACTTTCTGGCTTTAGAAAATACTTAGGTGTTAGTCTAGTCTTCTCATGAATCAGTGTATGAATCTTTTAACTGATTTTAGTGATTTAACTTAGTATGTCCTACATAGTTCTATATTGGCTGCACTGGTGTCGATAGAAAAAATTAAAAATCTCTAGTTACAAACAGCAGTGGATTTGGATATAGAAATAAATCATGGTAATAATCCTGCTTAAGGAAATTCCTTAATTTCTTTAAGCGTCTGCTATCTAATTCTTCATATTGAAAATGCATACTACTCATACCTTGCTTCTGGACAAAGATAATTTGAAGGGCCCTACCCTAGCATGGGTGGATTGTAAACATCTCTGTTTCCTTTATTTTGGGAACTCTTTTTAAAAAAAGATTTCTTTTGTGGACAAATTATTTTGGTACTAATGCTGGGAGAGGGAAGAAGGTAGAACATCTTGAAGTTGAAATGCAAATTTTATTCTCTGATTTGGGAGAATTTAAGTGTGTCATCTGTTGGATGGTGAGAAGTAGCCCAAAGTCGTCCTACTGAGCTTTCAGTGATTTTGATGCCTCCCCAGATGTCTCTTGCTTGTCACTAACACCCAGCCAAGTGTAAATGCTGTACCACACTGTCAAGTCTTATTTTTTAATCCCGCTGTGGATGTGAGTTTGAAACAAGCATGGTACTGTAATCTTACCTGATAGAGCGGTCTGGAATCAATTTTTTTTTAAGTAGGAGAGCTCTCCATTTAATGTTTCTAAAGTTTTTAATAGGATCTTGGCACTGGAAAGGGAAGTGAGAGAAAAATAATGTTTACTGAAAAGCAGTGTCTACGTTTCCCCTTTATGACTGTACTTGTGGTTGAACGAAGAGAGACTCGGTTTTTTGTTGCCAGTGAGCTTGGAGAGGGACGCTTGACAGCATGCTGACTGAAGCCAGAGCAAGTGATTGGGAACTCCTCTGCGAAAGCTGAGGACCTGATTAGTCACGAAGCATAATGGGGCTGGTTGCAAGGAAACTTGCTGTCTGGCTTACGCACCCAAAGAAGAGAATGCAGCAGCCTAGTTTAGGGGTAACCTAGGTTTCTTAACTTGAAACTGACCTTTCCCCTTCGTACTTCACACACTTAAAACTGTCCATTTTCCTATCAGACCAAAGAGCAAAAAGGAAAAACAAAATAAAAAAACTCTTTACAAATTTATGTCACTCAGGTACAATTTTGTGGTGAGATTTTTGTGTTTGTCTTGCTTTTAAGAGTCCTTTCTCAGCATATTCCGCAGTTGCCTCTGATCTTGGGGCGTCTCAGTTTTGGATGCTACTCTTGAGATTTCTCCTGCTGTTATATGAATGATAGGATGTGAGTGGCCATTATCATAAGGGCTCTTTGTAAAAAATTTTTTAAAAAAATTTTAAAAATTTGAAAGATGTTGCATACATTTTATAGTCTGGCTCTCAGTTTGATATCTTGCTGTCAGGTATGTTCCTCAATCTGTATTTATCCATCCCATCAATAAATGTTAATGGTAAAACATTCATCTGATTGTTGTTTATATGTATCATGTCCTCTATTTAGTCCTTAGTCCTTAACTGTCATTTTATTGGTGCTGTTATCCTTTTGCTTCAGGGTTTTTTGGGGGGATGTTGTCTTTTTGTTTGTTTTTGTTGCTGGGTCTGGAACCCAGGGCCTCACATGAGCTAGGGTGCTAGGCAAACACTTTTAACAGTGATCTACACTCAGCCCATTTTGCTTCAGTTCTGGTAATATGTTCGTATGTTCTTTTTTTTTTTTTTTTTCTTTTTCCTTTTAAGTCATGGGCTCCCTCTGTAGTTCAGGCAGGCCTTGAACTCACTATCTAGCCTAGGCTGGTCTTGAACTCACAGCAGTTCTACCCTGGACGCCTAGGTGCTAGGTTCCACCACCATGTACGTGTGTGCCCTTACCATGCAGAATCTATGGGGACTGAGTGGCCATCACGCTAACCCTGGTAGCATAAAGTACGTTACCAGGGAGAAACCTTCACTGTATTGTTTGAATATCTGAAAGTAACTTTTAAACAAAAAACTACAGCTCTAACATGATAGCAACACTTATTAGCAAGCATTATCAACATTTCATAAATTGTATCTTTGAGAAACCTGAGTGTGGGCCGGGAGTATAGCTCAGTGGCTTAAGCACTTGCCTGGCAAGCCTGAGGTCATTAGTTTGATTCCCTGTACCAAAAAAACAAAGTGTTAGGACAAACATATCAGTATATTTGGAAGAGAATATATTTTGAAAGAAAAAAAAATTCTTGCTGGTGCCTGGAAAAATTGGTAGCGAATATTCATTCACATACACAAGGTAAATCTTACAAACCACACTTAAAGGAAAACTTTTATGATAGAATGAAGCATGATACACACTTCTGAAAAAGTCATTTGGGTTCTATTCATACCCACTTTTTTAAAGACTGGGTACTTTAAATTTCTATGTGATAGGCAACCACCCTACCCGCTTCTGCAGTGTTGGGAATTTAACCCAGGTTTTTGTGTGTTAGGCAGCTATCCCTCTAGTCCTCTTTTTTTTTCCTTCTTTACTGGTAGCAGAGTTTCATTAAAGGTAGGAAAAGAAACAGGCTCTGCAAAGCGAGTTTGGGCCAAGTAAAAGTAAGACGTTCACCCTGCGGCGAGGGGGGGCCACCGCACAAGAGAGAACACAGTGACCTCGTTTCTATTTGACACACCTTTTTTGAAGTTTTTGTGCAAGTTCCTGGCAGTTTAGGAATTCTGATCCTGTCATCCCTGGACACAGATGAGATATAAGTCAATATAAAATCATACAGCTAGAGCCCCAGTATAGGGGTTGTTAAATGAATTGATCAGGAGTTAGGGTTCATTTTATGAAAATGCCTATGTTGTATCCTGATCTAGATACATTTGAGAGCTAAGGAGATCGACGTTCAACATTCTGTAGAAAGTTGAATCCCTTTGTAAGGCTTCTGTGGGGTCTCTTAGAGGCTTATAGTCACAGTAATCTCTGGCTCTTGGGCCTTTTTCTGAGTCCATTAGTTCATGGATTGTCGTGTTGTCTGACTTGGTCCACCTTTTTTGTGCTGTGAAGTACCCTTCATTTCACCTTACACTCCAACAGAGCAAGCCATGGGATCATGCAGCAAGATCATTCCAGGGTTCCACCAGAAAACACGTGAAACAGAGGGTCTCAGGTGAAAACTTGCTGGCATGTTTAAGAAAGCGCAAGGGAGCCTGTGGAGGTGGGGTGGAAATAGTGAGGTGGAGAGGGTGGCCGGATGCAAGATTAGAGAAGCAATAGATAGCCGGATGTTGCGGGACCTTATACACCACTGTGAAGACCAAGTGAAAGAGACAAGACACCACCTCCAGGTTTTGCGCAGAGGAGTGACAACCTACCTGGGTATTAAAATGTTCCTTTGGGGCTGAGGATATAGCTCAGCGGCACAAGTGCCTGCCTAGCAAATGCAAGGTCCTGAGTTAGATTTCCGGTACCCAAATAAATAAGATGTTCCTTTGGGCCTCGGTGTTTAAAATAGATGGTGAGTCAGAAGCTGTGAGGCTCTCTCGACAGTTTAGTAAGAGATGCAAGGAGGGACACGTTGCAAGTGCTCAGATCATGAGCACTAGTGATACACTGCAAGGGTGGCTCCCAGGGTTTGGCCTTGACCAGTCGGAAGGATGGAGTTAGACGCTGAGGTGGAGCTGATTGTAGGAGGCACGGTCTAACGGACAGAGGGACTGGGTCTGGAGTTCAAGGGAGGGTTCCAGGCCGGAGATACACATTGGAGAGCCATCAGCTTATGAATGGAATGAGATAGATAACTGAGGGAGGATTCATAGGAAAGAAAAATGTCAGTTGCTCACAACTTGGGGGAAAAGAAGAAAAAGAGACTTAAAAGAGGTTGAGGCCCAGTGTAGGGGTGCACACCTGTAATCCCAGCATTTAGGCTGAGACAGGAGGATCACTTGGAGTTTGAGGCCAGCCTGGGCTAAATAGTTCATGGCCAGCTTGAACTGCATAACGAGACCCTGTCTCAAAGACAAAAAAGAAAAGAATTCATTTTTCCCTGGGCGTGGTGGTGCGTGTCATAATCCCAACACTGGGGAGGCTGAAGCAGGAGGATCACTGGGAGTTCAAGTCCAGCCTGGGCTACATAGTAAGTTCTAGTCTAGCCTGAACTACATAGCGAGACCCTGTCTCTAAAAAAAAAAATACATTTTCCCCAATACCTATTTATAAACAGTCTCAGGTCTACTTTAACCTGTTCAATATCTAGAAAATTATACATTGAATTAGAAACTAATTTGCTTTGTTGCACAACATAGAAGAATTTGCTGTTTGGCGTGGTGGCACACACCTGTAATCCCAGCACTTGGGAGGCTGAGGCCGGAGGATCCTTGCAAGTTCGAGACCAGCATGGGCTACAAAGTGAGTTCCGGGGCTGGGGGTTTAGCTCAGCGGCAAAAAGCGCCTGCCTGGCAAGCGCAAGGTCATGAGTTCGGTTCCCGGTACCGGAGAAAAACCGAAAAAACAAAACAAAAAAAAAACAAAGTGAGTTCCAGCCCAGCCTGAACTGCATAGCGAGGCCCTGTCTCAAAAAGACCAAAAAAAAAAAAAAAAAAAAGAGTTTGCCCATATTTTGACCTGTAATACTATCTTAGCCCCACTTTCACACTTAGAAGAAAGTAATTAGATTGGCTAGGCGTGGTGGCACACGCCTGTAATCCCAGCATTAGGGAGGCTGAGGCAGGAGGGTCACAGTGAGTTTAAAGCCAGGCTGGGCTACATAGTGATTTTAAGGCTAGCCTACACTACAGTGTGAGACCCTGTCTGAATAAAAACATATTTGCTATTAATATTATTTTGTATTACAATCACCATTCCAAACTGTTGGAGAATGTTTACACAGCAGCACTATCTTCCTTGTTTTCCCCTGTATCCTCCACATTAGATGCTTAATAAATACTTGCTGAAGGAATGAATTTCAAGAAAGAGCCTTCTTCTGGGCTACCTTAGCCCTGGAAACAGATCTACACTGTTTTAATAGTGTCCTAGCTAGGTGTAGTGGCATACGCCTGTAATCTCAGCACTGGGGAAGCTGAGGCAGGATTGCTGTGAGCTTAAGGCTAAGTTGGGCTACATAGTGAGACCCTGACAAAAAAAAAAAAAAAAACCAAAAAAAAAAAAAAAAAAAAAGTCTTGGTCCTAAACAGATTTTTCTTGAGGCTGTAGATTCCCTATGCTTTCCTCTACTGTGATCATGCTTACCTGCTCAGTGGTCAGGGGTGCAGGATCTGAAATGAAACTGACAGTGGATAATGGAGGTTAGGATGCAAAATAACTTCTAGAAAATGTTGAATCATTTCTACAAGTGGGGCAGTGACAAAGAGAGATACTTTTACCTAAAAATCCATGCAGGATAATAAAACTGGTATTGTCTGTCATTTCTATAATTCAGGCATTACTCAGCATGGAGTTGGAGGGAACTTTACAGAATCAGGGTGCACAGTTTATAAAAAGCAAAGCTGAAACCAGAACTCACTTCCTCATTCTCGCTCAGTCTGATGCCCTTACTGTATGAGATGCAGTAAGAGATGAAGGATGGGGGCTGTGTTCAAATCTGCCTTGCTTTCCTGTTTATTAGATGTGAGAATATCTATTCTTCTGTCACATTAAATGGAGATGACAACAGCCTCTACCTTTTAGGGTGACTCTGAAAAATTAAATGAATAAATCCTTGTGACTCCCCAGACTTGTGGTATCACCAAGAAGCCAGGTCCTGACACAGCAAGAAACTGGCCCCTCACTTCCTTGGTCCTTGGTTCAGTCAAGACACATAGGTGGCCATGCAGAAGTATAGGCAGAATTTGTTGTAAAATAGATACAGTCACTCCTTCAAGTGCAACAGCAGGCAGTGCCACAAAGGCATCTGCTCCAAGTGCAAGTTTGGATACATTTTTATGCACACAAAACTCACTTTACTCACTCTGGAGCTTAGGGAACTATGATGATTATCATTGTTTTATTTTCAATATACACATATATACTGAAAAAATATGTAGTTGTTTGTTTTTGAGCCAGGGTCTCTCTATGTGCTTCACACTGGCCATGAATTTACTATATAATCCAGGATGGCCTTGAACTCACAGCGATGCTCCTGCCTCAGCCTCCCAAGTGCTGGATTACAAGTATGTGCCACCATGCCTGGCTTGATGAGCTTTAATCATGTAAGAATCTAAATTAGGTCTTGGCTCAAGGAGGAAGGGTGTCTTTTTAAATTTTTTATTTTTTTAATGAAGGGAAGGTTTATTTGTCTTAGAATTTGTGGAGGTTTCAATCTGTAATCAGCTGGCTCCAAGGCAGGGTGGTGTGGCAGAGGGGCATCAATTCATGGTGGTGGAGGACAACAAAAGCAATAAGAGTAAAGAAAAAAGGGGGGAGGGAGAGCAAGCCTCTTTTCCTCCCTTATATTGTATGCAGACTACCCACCCTATGGTAGGTGTAGCACTCACACCATCTCTGCACCCTCCTCTTGCACAGGCTCAGGATATTAAGAAGTGAGGACCCTGGCCTCCTGCTAAGTCACTTAGTTAAACTTCTAAACTTTTCAAGTTGACACAGTGAGTCAACCGTCACAACAACAACAACAACAACAACAACAAATTAAGGGCTGGGGATATAGCTCAGTGGCATAAGTGCCTGCCTGGCAAGCTCAAGGTTGTGAGTTTGATCCCTGGTACCGCAAAAACAAACAAACAAAAAAACCAAAAGCCATCACAACATCCTAGAGCATAAACAGTCACCCTAGGGCATGCTTTCTACACCCTAGGATACAGAACTGCTGAGTTGCTTAGTTAAGCTACTAGACTTCTCAAGTTGACACAATGTATCAACCATTACTATTCACCCCTTGTCAACTTGCCCACCAGATACCTTTCTTTAAATCAGTTTCCAGATACAAAGACAGGCTCATTCTTACCATTTCACAACCTGAACACTGTCACACAGGTTTAACAATCCTGAAGAACCAGTACTAAGTCTATCAACATTATATTACATTAGCACCATAATATTCTGCCCATGGCCCCTCAAAGACTCATGCCTGTCCCTTTATGCAAAAAGCACTTAGTCCATCTCTAAGTTTCCAAACTCCTAACACTTTCAGCATTGCTGAAAAGTCCAAGTCCCAAGTATCCTCTGAGATTTAAGGCAAACTCTCAGCTGCAAGCCCCTGTACAAATGAAGTTAGACACTTCCAACATTCAAAGGCACACGATAAACATTTTTATTCCAAAAGTTACAAACAGGGGAAAACAAAGGACTGGGACCAAAGCAAGTCCAAAATCCAGCATGGCAAACATTAAGTCCTGGAGTTCCATGTGCAGCATCTGAGGCAATCTGTGGCAAGCTGTGAGCTCTGAAGGGCTTGAGTGGCTCCACCATGGCACTTACATAGTTGTAGCTCCCACAGTTTCTCTTTTGGGCTGGTTTTGCTCCCTCCTTGCAGGTTTCCTCAGATGATCCAGGTTCCCGGCTTCTTCAGACTTTTGGTCTCCACTGCAACTTTGGCTTCACCCTCACAGCTTCACACACTGCCCTCTCAGAGGCACACTGCCGGGCCTCCCAAGCCTTCTAAAGCCAGGGTTGAGGCCTTCTTACCCCACAACTCTTGCATTCTGCATGCATCTAGAACCAGTGCTACATGGATGGTTCCAAAGTCTGCTGCCAGCTGGAGCACTAGCCAGGCCTTCCTCTCTCTTGCCTGTAGGGGTTGAACGCCTGGATTTGCTGAACACTCTGCAATCCAATTGTGAGTGACAAATTTTCTGTGCTGCCGCCATTCTGGAACATGGTGCTCTGCAGCTTTCTCATTAAAGCAAGGTCTTTCACTTTTGCAATTCTGAGGCTGCAAAGGGTGAAGACTTGCAGCTTCTTGTGATGCCCTCAGGACATCGTTTGTAGTCTGTTCCTGCTCAGGAATCCAGAGCTCCTCTGCTCTATCTTTGCAGTCCACAGTTTTACTGCAGCTTCCCTTTTAGCCAAACTCACAACGTTTTGTTTTTTTGGTGTTTTATTTGGCACCGAGAATTGAACTCAGGACCTCGTGCTTGCCAGGCAGGCATTGTGCCACTGAGCTGTATTCCCAGCCCCAAACTCACAACGTTTTAAATCATCCTGCTGGGCTTTTTGCGCTTGATTCTCAATAGATCTGGCTAAAACCCCCAACAGCAGCCATGCCCCAGCCTCAACATTTAACTGCCTTGACATTTCTTCTCCCAGATTAATTAGTCTGCCACTCTTAATCTCAGTCTCAGGCAGTCTCTCGACACAAGCAAAATGCAGACAAACTTCTTTGCCAAGCCATAGCACACATGGTCTAGAGTCTAGTAGCCAATGTTTTTTCCCAGCAGAAACCTCCCAAGCCTGGTCTTTACTGGCAGGATTTCTATCAGCCTTCTGGGTTTCTGAGCTCTGACCAGAATCTCCCATACAGAACAGCCTAAGGCATTCCAGCTCTACTCTTTCAGGCGACATCTGCAGCCCTTTCCGATCTCTTCCCATAAGCTAGTCCCCAAAAGCAGAAGGGTGTTTAAAGAATGCTCCTCTTTCTGGTATCACTAGGGGCAGGCCATGACACCCAGGAATGCTGTATGCCTTGTTTGAATTAGCCAGGTGGCCAGATACTCGGAAGAATGTGTAGAACGTGTAACCTTAAACCCATTTTGTTCTGTGGGATTGCTAACTACCAGCCTAACAGTGGTGAACACCCTGAAGGGGTTTCTTACAGTGTTCTACACCAAAGCCTTTCTATGTAAAAAGAAAGTCAAATATACAGAGATCCTCTATGCTCTGTTCAACTTCCTACCCACTTAGTAGGGATGGTGAGGAAACAGCTATCTAAGATCGCAGGCAGCGGCAAAACGTGCCCCAAAGTAAACCACACCCAGGAGCAGAGCAACACCCTGAGCAAGCAGCCAGCCCCGCAGCCCGCCTTCCAGGCCGCCTGTCCTCACGGGGCGGGAGCGGTTGACAGACAGCTCATCTCAGCCTCTCCGGCCGCTCATTTTCTCGGCAGTCAGCCCTCTTAGCCGTGATAGGTACGGGCGTCGGCCAATGGTAACACGCCGCTATAGGAGCAGCAGCCAATCAGCGGCGAGGAGCTCGGAGAGACGCCGGGTAGAGCGAGGAGCGGCCGCAACTGCCCGGAGAGGCCCGGCCCGCGGCGCGGCGGAGCGGGTGAGGGCGCAGGTGCGAGCTCGCTTTGTCGTCGCGTTTGCAGTGAGGCTGCGGGCGCGCCCTTTTGGTCGGCCCAGAGCAGTGAGTCCGCTTCGGCAGCGGCGGAAGCGCTGTGGTTCCTGCGGGCCGCAGGGCCCGGCCGGGTCTCGGCGCCCGCAGCCTCGGGACAAAATGGCGTTTGCGCGGCGGCCGGGCGGGCGGGACAAAGGCGC